AAATTGCAGTAAGTTTTATGAGCTGTATTTAATGTAAATTTCCTGTATTTTAAGTAGAGAAAAAAAATTTTTTTGTTCCCTAAACGATTGACATGATTGACAAAGCTTCTTTATCAGTTTGAGAATTTCCCCCCCCCCAATTTCAGCGAGTGTTTTAGAGGCATATGTAACTAGTCTTTCAGTTCCATCAGGGAGTTAGTGGAAAAATACTCATTTTTCACATCTCCGGCTTCGAAATAGCCTAATATCTCTACAAAGGGAAAGAAATATGATGAAACAGTTTACTAAATCTTTTCTGAAAATTATTCTTTTAGTTTGACCTTTCTGTTGTCTTTCTAAGACAGTCTCTTAAGAATTTTAAATAATTTTTATCTTTTGAGGAGAATGTTGGAGAAAATTAATGTTGATAATGCTCAGTGCAACTACTGACACATCAAAGAGGTGTCTCATACAGAGGCTATTCTTGACAATCAGCAGTGCATCAGATCTTTTATTTATAGCCGATATTACTAAAGCTCATCAGTGAAAGAAACTGAATCATGTAAAAAGTTAATTTGCATTAATTACGTTTGGAAGAAGGTATTACTTTATGCTATAAACAAAGTAAAATAAATGTGTTTTTAATGCTTATGCAGTCCTTTCTAATATCCTGAATAAAAATCTTTATCAGTTGCAAAATTTCTAATTTTATTTTATTTGTATGTTCTTTGTCAAAAATAAAATGTAATACAGTCAAAAGTCTTAGACTTGTCGGGACTTCAGCGATTCCGGATTATAGATCATCAGTTTAAATCTGGTAAGATAGCATGCAGAAATTATAAAATTAAAAATATGAAACCGTAATTTATGAAATAAAGAGCAGTTATAATCTAAAGGGTATCAAAATTTACATAAAAAAACCTTAATATTTATTTATTTACTTTATCAAACATTTCTTTCAACGTGCGCATGCGTAAAGCATACATTACACATAGTCGAAATTAGAAAATTGCAACCAGAAAAGTATTTGATGTGTATTCGTGATATTTATAATGACGAGGAAACTGATTTAAATTATATCAGAGTACATCGAGATAAAACACTACATTTAGTGAGGAATTATAAGCCAAATAAAATAAAAACATCTGCCCTGAAGATGAGGATAGTGCTGACAGATCAACTTCCAGTTCATTGCGCGTTGCGACGTCCCCCCTCCTTTCCGCAGAGCAGCGTGAAACTGATAAACAGATTTCGGAATGGTTAGAGAAAGAACACTTTCTTCATGCCTTTATCAATTTTTTGCAGCAGTTCCACTTCTTGTTTAATGGACATCGAAACATGATTTCGCTTTGCAGACACTTTGGCAGCTCCAGCATCGGAAATTCTATTTGACATAATCGAAAGTTCAAGCTTACTGTTATAAAATTGCTCTAACAGTCTGCAAAATTAATAATCCGGATCCAATTCGAAGATTAAGGAATAACGCAATCTGCAACATTAACTGAAATAGATAATTTTAGCTTAGCTTATACCGTCCGTTATACATTAAATGTGCATGCACACATGCATATGCGCATGCGTAAATGTATTATGCACGTTCACACACGCATATGCGCATGTGTAAAGGTATTACGCGCATGCGCATGCATGAACGCATAATGTGTTTACTCATGCGCAGAAAGTTTGTGGCTTTGAGGTCTGGATTATAGATCATTCCGGAATGTGGGTGTCCAGATTAACGACTTTTGACTATTGTAATGATAAAATTTTACTGCTGCTTTCTCTAATTCTCTGGCATTTGTTCTTACAGTAATATACTGATTTTAATATTGTTACGAAAGGTACAGTCGCGGCAGTTTTAGGGTTGCCATAATATAGCAAGGAAGGCAGGATTGCCACATTTCGCGAGAAACCACCCATTTGGCGATATTTCGTGACGAAATGGCGATCTGCCATGGATGGAGGGAGAACCTTCTGGAACGAATTCTTACCGGTTTAGCCCAGAATATTCTCGAACGCAAAGCAAAAGCTAGAGTTAACAGCCAGGCAACGAGTGCCGAGTGGGTCATTAAGTGCACTGAAAGAGTCTCGTAGTGTATCGCGGTTAGTGCATCGTCAAGAGAGCGTGTTGAGCTCCGGGAACGACTGATCTGAAGAGTCGGGAGCTGTGCTCTGTGTGTCGTCGAGTGCATCGCGAGTTGTAGTGTGGAGAATCTCGAGAGTTCATGGAGTTCCGAGAACGACCAAGCAGAGTCGGGAGCTGTACTCTAGTGCTTTGCTGTGAAGCTATCTCCACTGTGATAGCTAATAACCTGGAGGCTGTGTCGCTAATCGTGTCAACGTGTTTATAGTAGTTCATCGATGACTGTAAACGTGTTTTGGAGATGTCCTGACAATACTGGCCAATAAAGTGTGTTTCGATACTTCACCAAGTAGTGTCATCATTATTCACTCCAAATCCATACGAACCCCGTACAAGCGTGAAGGAAGAAAATAGCGTAACAAATGGTGTCAGAAAGGAAAAACGCAACAATATTCTGATATTCTTTTTGTTTATTCTATTTTGCAATAAAAAAAAAAGTAGTGGAGAAACAAATGCCAGAGCTTTTAAAACTGAATTTCATTTCAGTTGAGTTTCAGTTTCATTCAACAGTATTAAGGATTCAGTTTTATGAGTTGAATGAAAGGAAGCTGAAGTAGTTATATATTCTTTTATGTTTTAACCACAAACTTTGGAGATATCAGATTGCAATCTAAAATACTCAGACTTTAAATTAATTAGTTCCCCCAAATCCTGATCACTTTCAGCTTTTTTCGTCCTCGGAGGATGATGTCCATGATAAATGCATTTATTTTGTGTTGCCTTTTGTAGTATATATTTTAAATAATAACTAGTAATTAATAATTATTAACTCAGCAAAATTCAAAAGATGAATTTGAAAGGAAATATTTTTATTATTATTCAATTTTCAAGTGATAAAAACCTGATTAAACATAAAATGTTTCATGGTTGCACTCTCTGCTGACACGTTTTATCATGTACTAAATTCAAATTCTTGATCTTGGATCTAGCACCTAACTATCTTAAATTCTTCAGAAACACGATTTCTATCAAATTTTTCATCATTACGTCATTTCAGAAAAACTTCGTGTTTCTCTGATGTCTTATAATGTGTTTTTAATGAGCAGAATAAATATATTTAATATCTTTTTAACCACAAAAATATTGGACTTAAAATATGGGATTAATAAGCCGAGTTAGCAGACTCAAAGGATTTCAACTCTTAGCTAATTCATTCCTAAACAAAAAAATAAATAAAATAAAATAAAACAGTTAAAATAAAAGTTAGAAGTTCATTTAGTGAAATTTCTTAACACTAAGTTGAAATTAATATCAAATTTAAAGTATGAGTACCTCTGAAATGGTTTGCACGATTTTTATAAAACTTGGTACTTTGGCATATTTTTTCGGCAGAGAATTGTAAAATGGAAAAAATAAAACAGACAATATCTTTTCAGAAAAAATCTGATTTTCTGTTGAAGTATGTTAAGCTATTGCAGTGCTATATGTCAATCTAAAATACACTTGTTTTGAAATATCATAATGATATACTTAACTCCAAAATGCATTTGTGTTTGAAATATCACAGTGATTTAACTCCAAAATGCATTTGTGTCAGATTCTCTAATAATATATTAATATATTAAGAGAATAAATGTGTTTTTATAATTAATATTATTATTTCTCAAAAAAACTGACCTTGCAAGATGGCACCTAAAATAAGACCAGTTGGGGAATATAGTCACCTATAATAGATATGCTGTACATCTGAGTAGGCACTCCATTGGCCAAGCAACGAAACAAAACCTTGGCTCAAATTTTAGCAAACAGGCTGGCTGTATGATAGTTTTTGTATTTTCCCTCGTGTGCAACATGAATATGAGGTAGTTTCTCTGAAAAAGGCCCCTCACAAAGCCATTGCTTTCCTTGGGCAGATAGCCCTTATTTGTGGTTTGCCATATTCTAAATATTCCAGTCCTGTTTCCTCTGTCCTGTGAGTAGTCAAGAAGCCTTTGTCAAACCTGCCAGCGAAGGGAAGTCAGGTCCAAGGTTGATGTTCTCTGTCTGCATCATGCCAAAAGCCCTTCTTTTTGTAAGAGAATGAACAGGACTTGGACAACATGTCTGCTTCCAAAAAAAAAAAAAAGCCCTCTCTCGTGTTGCCTTGGAAGAACAGTCGCAGCATATAGCTTATCAGAGAGCCATCAGAGCATTGCAGCAGTAGTGGCTGTAGAACTCCTATGACACCCTTCTGAATGTCGCTTATTTCAATTTTCATTCAGCATTGTGACTCTTGCCAGTGCTGTCTGGATATGGGTCTCGTTCCTGGAAACTGTTTTCACAAATTGTAGTTAATGTTGTGTGTTACAATGACCTTGCTTGCAACTTGCACTTTTGAATGCCTTTCTTTCAGTCTGCCAGTGGTTCTTCACCTCATTCCATCATGCAAATATTCATGATTACTCATTCTGTCACACTACTTTAAAAATGTAAGAGAATTTTGTCATAAAAAAAGTGTGTAATTATTGCCGGTCTTTGTGAATGAAGTACAAATGGTACAACAAGCCACTTTTTATACCTACTACTGTTGCAGTGGTATTTTTACAGGTATGAATATGATTATATATCCAATACTAGGATTATTGCTCAGAGCTATTTTCAAGTTTTGATTAGTGTTTTCTGAGGAATATTTTAAATATCTATTTTCTTAATTCTCAAAGCCGGTGTATGTTCTGAGTTGGGTTTTTGAGTTTAAACTCATGAAAAATGCAGGTAGAATTTTGTCAGTCATTAGTCAGCTGGCTAAAATAAGAGATGTGAAACTTTCTTTTTTTTTTTTTTTTTTTTTTTTTTTTTTTCCGTTAACAACCTATGTAGTCATACGTTGTGACAACCTCACAACTTACGTAGTGATAAGTTATATATATTTATTTAATGAGTTAGATACTTTTTTTTCCAGGTACCCTTCCAAGTAAATAATGAAGATGATGCATTAACTGCTGCAAGCTCATTTGCTTCTGATAAAATAGCTCCAATTTTCTCAGTTTCTTGTGTTACTGGAAAGGGTTTAGATTTGCTTTACACATTTTTAAATGTATTGCCACCTACCATTAATCAAAAAGATAGAGAGTACCTCATGCAACAACCTGCAGAATTTCAGGTATTTATAAGGGATTTCTTCTCTTTTAATTTAATATTTACATTTTTCCATTCCACATATATACAGTGGTGGGCAAAATTGTGGACACTTTTGGAAATTTTTATGTTTTTGAAATTTGTATGCTTATAAAAAAAACGTTACATTTTACAAAATGCAAACTTGTATATATCATTTTAAAGAAAATTTCTTACTGAATTCAATACAAAAGACAAAATTCAATTATTTGCAATACAAAAAATGTTAAACGATAATAGTTATTGATATACATTAGATAGTGATGATTGTAGTGAGTTATCAGTACTTAGTAGGGTACCCTTTATTTTTGATTACAGCTTCACATCAACGTTTCATTGAGCTGACAAGAGTTTTAAGCTCTTCTTTAGTTATTACATGATGCCCCGAAACAAGGGTGCCTCATTCGGAGGAGAGTTTTCAAACGATGCCACAAATTTTCGATAGGATTGAGGTCAGGACTGTTTCCTGGCCATGACAACAATTTAATGCTCTTTGTATGAAACCACTTTTTCGATATTTTGGCCATGTGGCAAGGCGCAGAATCCTGCTGAAAAATAAATGAAGCATTGTTGGGAAAGAGATCTCTGATGGGAGGTGTAATTTTTGGTTCTAGAATAGTGTCAATGTATTTTCTGGCATTCAGTGTCCCATCGATGACATGAAGGCAACCAATACCATCTGCTGACATGCATGACCAAATGATAACACTAACTGGGTTCTTCACAGTTGCTTGAATGCAGTCAGGATGTAGCTCTTCTCCTATTCTATGTCTTACATATTTTCGCCCATCAGTACCGAATAACGATATCTTAGTTTCATTACTCCATATAACTTGTGACCACTGATCATCTGTCCAATTAATGTGTTCCTTTGCCCACTGTAGTCTTTTTTTCGTTGCTGAAAATTAAGATAAGGCTTTTTTCGTGGAATTCTACCTCTCAGTCCAACATCTGATAATCTTCTCCTGATTGTTCTTGAACTGACAGAAACACCAGCATCATTTAGATCACTTCTGATGGCTGCTGATGACATTTTTCTATCTTGGAGACATAGTCTTTTTATTCTTCAATCATCAATAGATGTGGTGCACCTTTTACAGCCTTTTCCTTCTTTGTTTTTTATTTAATTTGTCTCCTGATATCGTAAACAAAACTTTCGGACTCCAGATGTAGTCACTGAACCACCCACCTATCTTGCAATTTCAGCACATGAAAGACCACTTTCTCGTAACACAATAATATTACATCTCTTTCTAGGTGTCTAATCTACTCTTTTATTTGATGTCATTGCTTCTTGACTAAATATTAAAAATTGTTACAAAAATTCCTACTTGTAATTGCAGTGTATAAGAAACAGGTCCTCCTTCTACAAAACAAAGCAAAATAATGAATTGTTTCAAGTGTGAACATGATATCGGCTTCTACTGGCAGTTACTAACATTTGATTGGTTCTCAGAACAAAAACAAGGATTGGCCAGGAAAGCTAGACATTACAAACCACTTCATAACTGTTTTTTTTTTTATTATTATTTATATTAAAGTACATATAACTTTTTTTTTTTTGTATTGCAAATAATTGAATTTTTGTTTTGTATTGAATTCGGCCCACGAGCAGCCAAGCGGTAAAGTCGCTAAACACTGGTAGTTCGGTCCGAGGTTCGAATCTCGCGAACGGCTGGCTGCATGGGCGTTTTCATGGTTTTCCTCATGTGTAACGTGTATACGAGCCAGTTTCCCTTAGAAAGTCCTCCATGAAGGCGTCCCTCCCCTTAGGCAGATAGCCCTCATGTGCTTTGCCACAATTAAGTACACCAGTGTATTGAATCCAGTAATAAATTCTTTTTAAAATTATATATACAAGTTTGCATTTTGCGAAACGTAACATTTTCTATAAGCATACAAAGTTCAAAAACATAAAAATTTCCAAAAGTGTCCACAATTTTGGTCCACCACTGTAGTTATCTTTGACCATAAATGAGCTCTGGTGCAAAATCTGTTACTTTTATGCCCTAAAATTTCATTCCATTCATTTCACTTTCATTTTACCAATGTGCATAGTTGTGAAAAAGAAAGAAATTAGTTTCATTCTTGATTTTGATTGATAAATATGTTCATGTGATTTTAAATGCTAAAATTGTTTATTCACTTCTTTTAAACTATTTTAGTGTAAAATTATTTTCTCACTTTTACTTTTGAATTAAGTTACTATATAAATTAAATAGGTGTCTTTTTAGAATTTCTCAACTTTTTATGGCTATAATTATTATTTAAAATGTAAAATTGCTTACGTTGTATTACTGCCATATGTTTCCTTATAAGGATTACTGATTGACACTTATTATATATATATGTGTGTGTGTGTGTGAGAGAGAGAGAGAGAGAGAGAGATAAATTCTGTAAATATCTTGATGAGATAGCAGCATCAATACATAAGATGACATACACAGACTGATATGTGGCCAGATTCAATATAATTTCATTGCTGCATAAAACAGTTCTAGAGATGCCACATTGATTCACATATCATTATATGGGTGCAATATGCACCACAAAAATTTGTATAGCTCACGTACCTTTAGACAATGGACGATGTGAAGTAGCAGGCAATACATTGTAGCAGTAGCGAAGCGGAGTTGGAAAAAGGGAAGTGTATTTAGCGTCGGCGATATTTAGAGTGCTGGTGTTTCGTTAAAATTTTGATCTGTGATTGGAAAAGAGCTGTCGCATTGCAAGATTGCATAAGATGGCATGATAGATTGATTAATTTTAAGATGACATACTTTAGATTCATTGGGACAGGAAGGGGAAGTACCCACATTAAAATGAGGAATAAAAATGACTATTCCCAAATTAAAGTTAATAGTTTTATTTCATAATTTTATATCTTACATATTTATACTCTTAATGATGAAAATTAAATTTCTACAGTGAAAATGATGTTAGCATACACTGTTCTCTCAGAGCTTTTTATATTATTATATATTTTTATATTAACTTTCTCAGAGCTTTTATATGCTCTCAGAGCTTATATATTTCTACAGAGCATACACTGTCCTCTCAGAGCTTTTTATTATATATACCTTTTTTAAGCTGTCATTCTCATGAGCTATAATTCTATCTGGTTTGCCTTTTCTCCTCTTCCCTCTGTTTCAGTAATTCACCGTTCTGGAAAAGAAAGTAGGGAACAAGAACTTTGTAAATTGAGCTGGCAAAGTAAATGAGCCTTTGACAAAAACTGTGATAGGGCTTGTATATACTGGTATGGATTTGGTATTTAAATAGCTAATGTTAGTAGAATTATAAATTAAATTGTTTTATTCCCTGTGCAGTGCAGGGGCTCACCAGCGGCCGAGCGGTAAAGTCCCTGAACACTGGTAGTTCGGTCCGAGGTTCGAATCCCGTGAGCAGGCTGGCTGCATGGGCGTTTTCGTTGTTTTCCCCATGTGTAATGTGTATACGAGCCAGTTTCCCTTAGAAAGTCATCCACGAAGGCATCCCTCCCCTTAGGCAAATAGCCCTCGAGGCTTTGCCATAATCACACACACAATCACCCTGTGCAGTGCAGTGCGTGACAAATATTAAAAGAAAGCTAAACTGCAAAATTAAAAATACAAGAGCACGTGCATTTAACATTTAATAAATAAATATCTCTTTTCGATTTTGAGAAATTGCTAGAACAATTTTGTGCCTTCTTTAAATAGCTTATGAAAAGGAGGAAAACCTCTCAATTCAGTCAGTTAGTTGTTTAAAGAGTTTGTTTAGAAAACTGCTCTTGTTGACTGTAGCGAATTCACAGATTAGCTTTCCCTAGCTATTTTTGAATTAAGTTCTGTTGAACGTTTGAGTAGTTAAAAGATAACTACTGTGATATATTGTAATACTGTACAAATATCTGAAGAAATTTAAGCATTTTGTTTTATTTTTTGTAATAATAATAAATTTTGTTCATTTTTCATCAGACTTGTGCATTCAGTTACTAAGAAACCTGTACACACACAACATTACTAATGTAGTTTTAAGTGCATATCTATCATATTAAGAGCAATAGTCATGGTATTGTTGCATTTTTCCAGTTTATGTAATAATTGTCTTCTAGTGTGCAGGAATATGTATAGTTTCAAGTTCTCTGACAGTTAATTTCTTAACCTTTTTTATAAAATCTCTTACTCATACTCTTACTTTTCTCTGATAAACTTTTGTTAAATAATAAATTAGATTTGGGCATAGAATGAGTTTTACGTATTGATTGTGAGAGACTGAAGTTTGAAAACAGTTATATTTTTAATGTATTCTTTTGTTCAAAAGAGAAAACAGACAAAGAAGATTTCAACAATGGGCTACAGTCTTTCACAAATATTAAATATGTTTAACTACAAGTATATTCAAATTAGCGGATCCTATAAGCATGAAGAGACAATTGTTCTCTAAAAATATCTCGTGTAGCTTTCCTTTGTAAAAGTTGATTTGTATTGTTCTGCACTGTTACCAAAAATGAATCCCATATACAAAAGCAGCTAGAAGGAAACAAGTACCATTTATATTTATTGTTGCTATGCATAATAGGGGAGCTATGACTAAAGATTTTGGTAACTTCCAAATACTTGAGCATGTAGATGTTTTCAAGAAACTTATAAATGGGGTTTTAATGAATTTCTTTATAGCTGACAGTCAAATGTAACTATTATGAGTTCCATAATACACCTTACTTTGGGGAATACATATGTCTGATTTCATAAAATAAAAAGAACCTCCTTTTCATTATAATTTTTTCAATCTAAGCATCTGAAAAATTTGTATGAAATGTGAAATCATTGCAGAATGAGTTGTATATTTTTGTTTATAGGCGTTCATTTAAGTAAAGTATCAATTAGATGGCTATCTGAAATTTTCTAATATGATATTCATTTATATGTTATTGTTATGATTATTTTAACTTTCAGGTGGATGAAACTTTTCATGTTCCAGATGTTGGAATAGTCGTATCTGGATTATTAACTAGTGGAGTAATTCATGAAGGAGATAATTTGCTTGTTGGGCCATCTGACAGTGGAAAATTTTCTCCTGCTAAAGTTTTATCTCTTCATAGGCACAAAGTTCCAAGTCGAGTAGTTCGAGCATGCGAAAGTGCAACATTAGCCCTTTCTAGTCAAACTGAGATTAGTTTTCGTAAAGGTATGGTTCTAATTAGCCAGCATGTAAGGCCACCAGTATGTTATTTTTTCCAGGCGAAGATACAAGTACTTTTTCATTCTTCTAATATTTGTGCAGGTTTTCAAGCATCCATTCACATAGGAAATATACGACAGACTGTTACAATTCTTGGCATTATGGGTAAATCTAGTCTGTCTCTAAATGAAACTGCATCTGTAATTTTTAAATTTATTCAGCGCCCTGAGTGTGTTCATCCAGGTTCTAAACTCTTACTACGTGTTGGACAAACAAAAGCTATTGGCCGAGTAACTCAAGTCTTTCTTCTTGGTGATAATTTACCCTTAAAAGTTTCACCTATTTATCGTAGCTACTATTAATAGAAAGTTATTTTATCTTCAATAATGCTTTAAAAAATTACATTTTATATATATTTTAATGCTTTTCCCTTTGCCTGTTGTACACTTTATTAAAATTATTCTGTAAAACTATTAAAACAATGCTGCTGTGTTCCTGTTTAGAATGTGTCCTGAGTGATCACTGAAGACAGCAGCAAAAACCAGATTTTATTCTGTTATACATGTATGAATCAAGTTCACCAGTATCAGCAATGCAAGATAGCTCAAGTATCTTTTAAAATTTCAGAAATGGCTAGAATATGATCATTTGACAATCATAACATAAATATTAATAACTCAGATGTCGAAAACGTTTTAAAATACACTTAGGGTATCAAAAAGAGGTCCATTTTCTAAGCCATTAACTTCAATCTGAGCAACCATTGTTGTTCTGCTGTTGTTTTTAACCAACATTTTCGCAAATACTTAGTAACTCTCTACAGTGAACCTTGTTGACCATGCCATGTCTACCTGTTTTAACGAGAATCACAAATTCCTGAGCCTTTTTATTGCTAAGTACCTGTAATGTCATTAACTGAAATATTGAAGTTCTTTTAGGAAAAACTAGATGTATCAAGTATCTAGTAGTATCGAGGTTTTGTACCACCTCCTGCGTATACTGCGAGCTAGACTGGGTTCAACTTAATTTAAAAATCTGCATGTTCACCTGTAAAAGAAGTATCGAGAAGCCATTGAAAGTTTGGAAGTTGTTTAAGTATTATAGCTTGTCTTGACAAATATCACCAAATCTTTTAAGCAAGATCTCTCTAATTATAATGGGGCTATTTATATTTACTACAATATATTTATATTTACTCATTGTATTAAGCAATTCATGTGATATCTATGATAAAATATTTAATAATTGAAAGAATAATTGTGTAATTTACATGGCATTTTTATATAACAATATTTTTATTATTTACATCATTTTGTAAATAATGTAATCGTTTTTCTATGAATATCTGAATTAATTGCTCTTATGAAAGCAAATGCAATACTTGTTTAAAATTAATGCTTTCTAATGGGTTGTTGTAAATAATGTAATTGTTTCTATAATAATATGAATTAATTATTCTTATGAAAGCAAATGCAATACTCGATTAAAATTAATGCTTTCTAATGTGTTTGCATTAAGTGCTTAGCTGTGTGCTTTTAGAAATCGTTTACTTTTCTTTGTAATTTTAACACTCGTAAGTAGCCTGGAATTCTCATTGTATTAAGAGTAGAATTCCAATAATCAGCGAATTCCTGTAATCCATGGTTATTTTTGTATATAAACAAACAAAATGTCAATTTTTAAAAAATTCAGCATGATAAATTTGGCAATATTTTTTTCTTATATAAATATGCAAATAAATTTTGAACAAAAAATACACTGTTTTTATAACATATTAGTTGAAAAAAAGAATTTTATTAATTTTTCAAATTTAGAATTTTTTGCTCGTATACCAGTGGTCTTTTTATATTAAAAGTGTATCATGACTCAACAATTTTTTCTTTTATACAAATCATTAACTGTGGATGTGTATTTTGTTGTCTTTTTAAATTAATTTTGACTTTGTAAAAGAAATATATTTCTCCTCAAATTTTCAAGCATTGAGTGACTTAATCTGTAAAATTTGTAATTCATGTAATCAGAGAATGTGGATTATCAGAATTCTGTATTAACACTAATATGTGTGTTGTCATTTTGATGCTGAAGTGTGTTTATCAGTTTGTTACTTCTAATTTTTGTCTTAATTGATTTACTTCTGCCTGTGGCTCATTTTAGGAAACTGCTTGACAGACTTCCCCTGAAGCTTTTTGGTGACTATTCTGTAACTCTTCACCATTTAATTAAAAAAAAGTGAACTCAAATGTGTTAAGGTTTTAAAAAACTGGATTTTATCATTTAATCTGATTTACTTTTAATGTAGTTCAACAAAGAGAAAATTTATTTTAAATGACTTCATGTTTTAAGCCTTTGCATGGTTTTATATTTGCAGCTAATCCTGAGACTTTTACTTCATTGTGTTGTCAGGGCTGTTGTCAGGGCATTGATTTTTTAATTATCCATTTTATTATTTATTTTAGTATTTTATTTTATATACAGTCAAAAGTCGTTAATTCGAACACCCATAATCCGGAAAGATCTATAATCCGGACTTCAAAGCTACAAACTTTCTGCGCATGCGTCAAACGACCTTTCGGGCTGCAAATACGCGTGTGCGTGTGAGCAAAATACGTTTACGAATGCGTGTTTAATGTATAACGGACGGTATAAGCTAAGCTAAAATTATCTAATTCAGTTAATGTTGCAGATTGCGTTGTTCCTTAATCTTTGAATTGGATTCTGTTTATTATTTTTTGCAGACTGTGAACTGTACTCAGGAGCTGGTTGACTTTGTATTTAATAACAAAGATTATCATCACAAAGATATTTACTTTATTATACATTTATTAATCATTTTGTTGCTGTAGAGGAACGATCTGGCTCCAAAACATTTTAAATTCTCAATCACAAAGCTGTAAGATCTGTTACAGCAAGTACACAAAAGAAAAGAATACTGAATTCAAATTACGTAGGTCGAGAGTATAACGCGCTAGCAGCGCCTCCTGTCGGGAGCTCTTAATCACTACTGAACATACTCCCGACCTTGAAACCTTACGGGTTTCAAAATATTATTACAATTAGTATACACTATTTTAAAGCACAATATAATAACAAACAATTGTAAGCAATAGCAATACAATGGTTAAATTTTAAAGACACATTAAATCATAAATGCAATATAAACACTATAAAGAAACACATTACAATATACAATACATAAATCTAATTACAATTCACAGGAAGAACACAAATGTCTCTCACATTTCTTTTTAACATTTTACCACCTGGTAATACTATGTTAATCACTCGAACTTTTTTATCTTTCCAAAAATTATTTCTGCAATTCTACCTGTTAACCATTTTGTACTGGGCATATGCTCATCCTTGACTAACACAAGTGAACCCACCTTAACATTATCTTTAGCAAACATCCATTTACTACGTTGTTGAAGGTTATTTAAATAGTCTCTCTTCCATAACTTCCAAATTTGTTGACTATATTTCTTTATTTTTTGCCACTTTGAGAGCCTATTTTCTGGTATCTCAACAAGTTGGGGTTCAGCTATTGATGTTAAAGGCCTCCCTATGAGAAAATGCCTGGGGGACAAGGTTTCAAAATTATCAAACTCGGATGATAAGGGAGTAAGAGGTCTGGAATTTAATACGCTTTCAATTTCTAGAATTACAGTGAGAAATTCTTCAAGAAACAGATGAGCATTGCCAATAATTCGTTTCAAGTGAAACTTAAAAGATTTCACCCCGGCTTCCCAAAGACCGCCAAAGTTTGGTGATTTAGGAAGGATAAACCTCCACTCAATGTTTTCACTTAGCAGGTATTTAGTCAGTGTTTCATCTGGGTGTTTAACCAATTTATGCAATTTTTCTGAGCTCAATGCTTGCACCCAGATAATTCTTTGCATTGTCACTGAATAATTTTACAATATAGCTCTGCATTTTGCACATTTACCCCTGCGACTAAAAAATCGTTTCAAACAAGCTATAAAGGGCATCTGAAGTAAGATCAGAGACAAAATCTAAATATGGATGGCTTTGGTGCCTTAAGCATACAAATATGCACACATAAAACTTTGTTTCAGTTTTCCCTTACGCTGATTTTTAAATTTAATGTGGAATGGTCCACAAAAATCAGTTCCAACATTATTACTAAATGGGTAAGAAGGTGTTACTCGTTCTTTGGGCAGATCACCCATTATCTGAGTCTCAAAAACAGGTTTGTTTTTAAAACAAGTTATACATTGAAAAAACAAAACTTTACGACAAACATTTCTGCCATTTAAGACCCAAAATTTACGTCGAACATGATACAATAATGCATTTGAACCAACATGCAAATACTTTAAATGATAATATCTCACAATTATTAAAGTTAATGGATGCTTATCTGGCAGAACAATTGGATTTTTTCTCATATGTACTGAGGTCAGAATGTTTCAGTCTGTTGCCTCCAACCCTTAGAACATTGTCTTTATCTAAAAAAAACAGTTTAAAGATTTTACCTTGCTGTTGCTGGGCACTGAGGCACCTCTCTCAAGATGTTTAATTTCATCTACAAACTCACCTTGTTGGATTGACCTAAATAAATAGATTTCCTGCTCTTCTCAACTCGCTAAATGTAAGGTGAACTGTAAGCTTTTCATAGTTTCTAACATTATTGATAAATCTAAATACATAGCACATAACATGAACAATAGTTAAATAATTATTACTCAAGGAAAGAATATCATCAACTATAGAACTATGATTAAAAACAGTAAAAGCAATTGGAGAATGATCATTAGAGTCATCGGTTTTCTTTAGTTCATCAGAAAAGTCATTTAATGAAATTAGAATGTCATTATTGTCTACCGGAACATCAGGTCTTTTCTCTCAAACATTGGGGTCCATGCCACCAAATGTCACTGTTCAATAAAATGGTCAGCACTGACTGCCCCTGCTGAAGGAGATCAGCTGGATTTTGTCTTCCCAGGGCAGTGTGCCCAGGCACTGGTATCACTTAAACTCTGTATTTCGTTAACTCTATTGGCAACAAATGATTTCCATCGTTTCGTAGATCCTTTAATCCAATAGAGAGTTATTTTTGAATCCGTCCAAAAGAACACTAAGGGAGGGCTTTTTTAAATCCACTGTTTTCTTGACTTTACTCGCTAGTCGTTGAGCGGCAAGCAAAGCACCGAGTAATTCTAGTCTCGGAAGAGTGATTTTCCTTAGTGGCGTCACTCGACTCTTGCTAACCAATAAATTCACTTCGATGTTATTATCCTTCACAACTCTTGCATAAATAGCAGCACCGTAAGCCTTTTGGCTAGCATCGCAGAAGCAGTGTAGTTCTAAGATATCGGTTGGCACTTGTATATTTAAATTGAGCACGTTTCTAGGAACTCGTAACTCCTGAAAGATCAGGAAACTTCGGAGCACCACTGAAGCCATGTTTTTTTGTATATCTACAGGTATTTCTTCATCCCAAGAATTTTTTCTTCATCCATAAGACTTGTAGAATGAACTTTGCACGAATAGTAAACGGCGAAAGCAACCCAAGCGGATCAAAAATCCTTCCAATTGTACGTAGTAGGAATCGTTTGGTACTTTCGTTTTTAGACAGACTATTCACTAGGCTCTGCTTTCCCAATATTAGAGAATCTTCAGGAGGATTCCATGACAGTCCCAAAACTTTAATAGTGCTGACTTGTGGCTGTGTATTGAAACCTTCACGTGTCCAAAACTGCATCAATGTATTGTCATTCGTAGTCCATTTTCGTAGCAACATGCTAGCTTGGCTCATAATTGATGTAGCTTGAGTGGAGATCTCAAAAGCATCCGACACATTATCAGCTCCAGAAATAAAATCATCCACCTACAAACAGCGGTCTAAGCATTCTGTTGTATTCGGGAATTCTTCAGAGTGCTTTCTCAGGTGAGTTTTCAAAGTAGCAGTCAAAAGGAATGGACTGCTCGTAACACCAAAAAGAACACGATTAAATCTGTAAACTTGAATTTTACCATTTTCTTCCCACAGAAAACGAACTGCATCTCTGTCCTTTTCGGCTAATAAAATTTGTAGGAAAGCTTTCTCTATGTCTGAAGTAAAGGCGACTTTGTTTAATCTGAAATTAACAAGAATGTCGAATATGTTCGAATTCAGGTTTGGCCCTGACCACAGGCAATCATTTAGACTTAAATGCTTAAAGTTATGACTGGAACTTGCATCAAATACTATTCTCATTTTTGTAGTTGCACTTTTCCTCTCTAAAAACTGGTTGATGTGGCAAATAGAACACAGGTTTATCAACAGGGTTCTTAGGACATCTAACTTTCTCTATAATATTCTTATTTTCATAGTCCTTTAAAAGTTTCAATATACTGCAAATGAAGATTTGGATCTTTTTGAAGTCTACGCATAAGTAAATTAAGTCTCTGTTTTTAGCAACGATGAAGTTATTATTGAGCTCTCCCCAATCTCTTTTCCACGGTAATTGAACCTCATACCGGTTATCTTTAAAACGAACAGTTTTTTCAAATGTTTCTAAAGATTGATCCATCTCATTTTCACTGGGATCATCTTTAATTCCTATAGACTCAAGTTGCCAAAATTTTTTAATTTCATTTTCTATACCACTATAATTATTAATTAATCCACAATGAACTGCTCGCGTATTTTCAGTCTCTGAACCTAAAATGCTGCCAGTGGCTATAAAGCCAAAAACAGAATTTTGAAATCTTAGCTCTGAATTTGGGCACTTCAACTTGACCGAATTTTAAGATCTGATAAAACACCT